TAAGCCATAATCATCAAAATTTCAAGAAATAAAGGCTTGAAATATTTCACTCCGTGTAATGAATCTATCTAATATATGGGTTTCACTTTCTGAAATGAGTGACAAAAAATATTGACCTTTTTCATGATATTCTAATTTTTTGAGATGTACCTGTACATCACAACACTGAAGTCAGTTGCAACTTCCGGTTCACTGGTACTTTGATATTGATATTTTTCAAGGTATTGAAGTTAGAAATTCCTATATCATAATTAATTCACATACTTTTGTCAATAAGATAAAAGTGGGTTTTGTTCAAAGTAGCTATTATCCACATATATCTTTGATATGAATATTTTTGGTAATTCATTAAATATCTTCGGCTAAATAGTAACTAGTACTCCGAGTAGTTTTTGAGAGGAGTACTTTGTACTTTTACTTAAGTACTGTTTTGACACCAGTTCTTTTACTTGTAATTGAGTATTATTTAGGCAGTGTAACAGTACTTGTACTTAAGTACAAATTTCCAGTACTCTTTCCACCACTGGTTTTATGTTTACGTGGCGCGATGCAATGCAACGCGTAAAAAGACAGTACAAGTCATTATAATAAGTAATTATGTCCCCACTGGATGCAACAAATGCCTAATTTATAATGGGTTTTAATGTTTCTGTCTCGTCGCTCCGGCCGGACAGGGCATCACAGTATGGCAAGGGGCTTAACATTTCCGTCACACCCTTGAGGTATTCGGCCAATCACAACGCACTGGATAGCTGGCCAATTAGAGCACACCTCGCTTTTCAGACCGATGAGCTTTGCAAAAATCGATGTGTTTCAGAAAGGCGGGGCATAGAGAAGAAACAATAATGTACAGTATGTTGAAAATGTTTTTTTAAAAAAATTTTTTTTTTAACCTTACACCACATAAACACATTTCATTACATCAAATACACAAAATAATGTTCCTTTTAGCAACATCATATGACCATTTTAAGTAATATGCATCTGCGATGCACCCAAAAACATGTAGGCCTACAGCGATAAGGAAATTGTAATAATAATAATGATTGTCTGGCCTACGTTTCTATGACGTGTTTTATGTTTTTGGACCGTAAGTTAAATTGTATTTCTATTGTTACATGAACTAAAAGTTAACATTTCTTCAGGAAATTCATCTAGTGTGCTTGAAACAGGATAACCATGTCACTGTATCCATCTCTAGAAGACATGAAGGTGGATAAGTTCATGCAGGTTAGATAGATATAATTAATAGATAATTAGACACTATTAATTAATTAAAATGTATCTAACAATCCAAAATGTAACATTTCTTTAGGCACAGAACACCCCCACTGCAAACCCATTAAAGGCTTTACCTCTTCCCGAACCTTCCAGATGCCAGAATGAGCCTTACTATGATTCAAAATCTGAAGAGATAGGTAAGAATCACATACTGTGCTGTATGTGTGATTACGTAATATATGACAGAAAAGAGGCTTAGACCCTAAAGCTGAGCTTCAAAGGGTACCATGGGTACTTCAAAAGAGGCTTTAGAATATATAGTCACACTTTAGTTTGGGGACCAATTCTCACTATAAATTGTGACTTTTGCCTCAAACTCCTAATTTTCTGCTTATTAACAGTAAAGTTGTTCTTAAGTTTAGGTATGGGAATACTTTAGGTATGCATGCTAATAAGCAAATAGTTAAAACTGTTCTCTAAACTAAAGTGTTACTGAATATATAGGGTTCGTACAGTCTTGAACAATCAGGAAATATTATGAAAATTTCAAAACTGAAGTTTTCAGGCTTGGAAAACTCATGGAAACAAATAAATTTTAGTTATCCAATTTTTCTCACTTGCATCCATGTAGCTTAGACCAATTTTTAAATGTTGTCTCTCTCTCTCTCTTTAGCTACTTCTAGCAGGTTGTACCCTGAGCTGAATGAGTTTATGGGTCTAAATCTCAGTGCAGATGCTCAACAAACTCTTTCCTCTTTAGTTCCTGACCAGACCAGTGGGGTGAGTGTGTTTGTGTCTGAGAACTGCTCATCAGCTTATACACATTTTAAAAATAACACACAAAAACATTTTTGCATGTATTTTTTAAAAAAGTACTTACTACAGAAATGTACTTTTTTGCAAAAAAAAAAATGAAAATAATCCATGACTAAAAAAGATAAAAGGCAAAAATCCACAGGAAACTACAAAACATCACAGCTTAAAGGGATAGTTCACACTAAAATTCTGCTATTAATTACTCATCCTCATGTCGTTTCAAACCCGTAAGATCTTCGTTCATCTTGGAACACTATTCCGAGTTGTGACACCACTGATGTCACATGGACTATTTTAACAATGTCCTTTTTTACCTTTCTTGGCCTTGAATATGTCAGTTGCGTTACTGTCTATGCAGGGTTAGAAAGCTCTTGGATTTAATCAGAAATACCTTAATTTGTGTTTTGCAGATGAACAAAGGTCTTACGGGTTTGGAGCGACATGAGGGCATGTAATTAAAGACAATGTGTTTTGGGGGGTGAACTATCCCTTTAATTTGATAATAAAATATAGGCAGTGTTAAGATAAGAACTGACAAAAATCTGAATGAAACCGAGGGCGTATATTCACAAAAGAAAACGAGGAACGAAACTAGGATTCAGGTGAGCATGATCTGTAAACAAGGAAACAAGCAACAGGAAACGAACTGGGTCAGAGATCGCAGATTCTACCTGACCTAAAAAGCCTTGGCATTCATTTAATATTCCTCTGGTTATAGAGCTTTTTATAACGCAGACTTGTTTGCATGTAAGACTTGTTGCCTTCCATTGTCAGTTGCGCTCATTCCTCTTGCGTGTCCTAATCTGGCAACCTGCATGAGCATCAGGTCTGAAGTGGGACAAACGACTCTCTCCAAAACACTCTCTCTTAATGTCAGCTTGATTGCAGTCACTTTAAATAATAAAATTTGTCTTGAATAAAACCAATTAATTGATGTTACTGCATGAAGTATATTTTGGGTAATTTGACAAAATATTTTTTGCAGTATAGTAATTATATATTCCCCAATGCTTTTTAGGCTCGTAGTGTCTGCATACCTAGAATGAGCTGGGAGGCAGCCCCCATAACAGGAAGTGACCTGGGGGTGAAGAGGGCAGAGATTCGACAGGGTGTACGGGAGGTGGTGCTTTGCAAAGACATGGATGGGAAGATTGGCCTCCGCCTCAAAGTCATAGATAATGTATTTCTTTAATGATATGAATCATTTGAATTAATGTAATTTATTAATCTAGATTAAGATAAAAACAGCAGTGGTCCAACAAGAGATAATCTATTGCAACATGGCAATAGTCTGCACTTTTTAGGTGAAAAATATATAAAACATTTAGATATTTTATGTTTTAATTAATTCTGTGTATCAGTATTCTATGTTTTAATTAATGACATCCACATTCACATCATAGCATTACACCCCAATAGTATAATGGTAATCTCTGATTAACATTTCCAAATGTGTGTTTCAGAGCGTGTTTGTGCAATTAGTGCAGGCTAACACTCCTGCAGCACTGGCAGGGCTGCGGTTTGGTGATCAGATTCTGCAGATCAATGGCAAATCATGTGCTGGCTGGAGTAGTGATAATGCACATAAGGAGCTTAAGAATCCCAGCCCAGAGAAGATCACTTTGGCTGTGCGAGACAGGTACACACACACAGATGACATGGAGCATTTGTGCAGGTTTGAAATACTCTGCAGTCTGCACAATGATGTTACTCTGCATGTTCCAATGACTCTGCACAATGATGTTTCATTTATGAAGATCGGATTGTCATGAATTATTCATGAAGAGATCAGACACAGGAGGGTGTATGTCGTTTTAGCCTTACAACTGTACAGCAGTGCAAACTACTGATGTAAACCATTGTTGATACTAAAAAGTATGGCTATCAGAGACATTCATTAGAGTTGGCAAAAGTTTTTTTTTTAATTTGTCAAATTGTATAAGCCAATTCATTTTTTGGACAAGGCCCGGATTTTAGCAACAGGAAGTAACAGGAGAGAGGTGAATGAGAAAAGACCTTGAGTCGGAATTCAAGTTCAGGTCAGTGAGTATACACAGAGCACCGCTACACGATACATGAAAGTACTGCAGGCTATGGCTCTGATAGCCCAACTACCGGAGGAGCAGGGGAGAAGTCGTGTGTTCTCTGGTGTTGGTCACTTAGATATGTAAAACTATATTTAGGCAGAGCAGTACTTGGTTATTGATACGATAGATTGATAAAGAAAAATGCATGAATGAGAAAATAAAAGGTATTAAAAGGTGACCTATTCTGTGCCTTTTTGCAAGATGTAAAATAAGTCTCTGATGTCCCCAGAGTGTGTATGTGAAGTTTTAGCTCAAAATACCCCACAGATACATTTTTATATCTTGTTGAAATGGGCACTTTAAGGGTATGAGCCAAAATGTGCCGTTTTTGTGTTTGTCTCTTTAAATGCAAATGAGCTGGTGCTCCCGCCTCCCTTTTCAGATGAGGGCGGAGGTTCAAGAGCTCATGCTCCGGCATACCGGCAACAACAAAACAGGACAATATCACGCAATCTGACTGTACTGTGCATAGTAAATGCGCGTTTATAAATTACACAGACCGGGGTTTATGGAGCGATAAAAATTAAATTCAAGTTTATTTGTATAGCGCTTTTTTACGATACAAATCGTTGCAAAGGAACTTTACAGAAAATTAAGCTTCTACAATATTTAGTAGTAGCTTATCAGTGGTGACTGTCAGTTTATGTACATATGGCAGAAATGCACGGAAAAATCAATTAAAGATGTAATCAAACAGACGATGAACACTATTGACAGCAATTATTATATGATGCAATCAAACTTATAGCAAAGTTTGGTAGTTCTGTATGTTGTTTCAGGGTTGGCATCATCTGAGGTCCTCTGAGGGGTTGGCATCTCTTCTCCGGTGTTCTGGATCCAGACTGAAGCTTGTGTAAATCCTAGTTAGGCAAAAACAGAGAAACAAATAGAGACATAATTAGCGTAGCTGCTGTTCCAACCAAGCAAAATTGATTTGTTTAACCCAAGCTAAAGAATAAATTTTCTTGACCTGTAAGGACTCTAGCTGCTGCATTTTGGACTACATGTAGCTTGTTTATTGAAGATGTAGGACAACCACCTAGCAGTGCATTACAATAGTCCAGTCTAGAGGTCATGAATGCATAAACTAGCTTTTCTGCATCAGAAACAGGTAACATGTTTCGTAGCTTGGCAATGTTTCGAAGATGGAAGAATGCAGTTTTTGTAACATGGGAAATATGATTTTCTAAAGAAAAGTTGCTGTCTAATATAACACCTAGATATTTGACTAGAGGAAGTAACAGTACATCTGTCTAGCTGCAAATTGTAATCCAAGAGATTCTGTGTACTGTTTTTTTTTTTTGGTCCAATAAATAATATCTCTGTCTTATTCGAATTTAATAGGAGAAAATGATTGAACTGTGTTCAAACACCTTATAAAAGTGATTTTTGCGTAATCGGTCACCTTTAAGCAAGATAGGCAATGAAAAACAACTCAGTGCGGTACTTGCGCACACACACACACACACAAAGCACATGCCCTGGAAGTTTCCCATAGCACAGGTGTTAAGAATATCTTCGCTCTTTATCTTTCGATGCCGTCCAACTATTCTCAGTCCTTGCATTGGCCCATGGAAAGAATTATGAACATGAAGCCAATTGTCTGTTCACAAACTTCTTCAAAGTTTATTATTACTTCAACAGATTATATAGTCACATCGTAAGGGGTGGTGCAGTGATTCATCCAATGAGAGATGGATTACATGTGTTGTAAATGAGCCAAAAATATGTGTGTTATAATATAAATATAGGATCTGGACATATAAGGAATACTTCTGCCCAAGGTCGCTGCTGGCCAACTGGGTGCCCTAAGCAGAATAGTATTGTTGTGCCCCCTCCCTCAAAAAAAACAACAACATACTATAAGGGGTCAAAATAGAACATTAATCAAATATAAAAGTACATTTAGTCATTTAGCATACGCTTTTATCCAAAGCGACTTACAAATGAGGACAATGGAAGCAATCAAAATAAACAAAAGAGCAATGATATACAAGGACTATAACAAGTCTCAGTTAGCTTAACGCAGTACACGTAGCAAGGGTTTTTTAAAATAATATAATAAATAAAAAGAAAACTGATAGAATGGAAAAAGAATAGAGCAAGCTAGTGTTACAGATCTTTTTGCTTTTGTTAATTGTATAATAATTGAAAAGAAAACCGATAAAATACAAAAAAAGAATAGAAAGCAAGTTTTTTTTTTTTTAAAGAAATAAATACCTTTGGAATTAGTAACATTCATTCAGTGTGAGATTTTTTTTTAAATATATATCATTCCAGTTTAGCTACACAGATGGGCCAGTGCATCATATAAGACGAAGAAGTGCAGGTCTGGTTCACAGTTTTGTCCTCCACTCAAATACAGATAATAGTTTTATGTTCTATATATGAAAATAAACAAATGATCAGTTTCAGTTTGTTTTGAGAGAGTGGCTTGATATTGACCTACTCTTGCACTCATGGTTACTGAAATCACATTATGTTTTCTTATGTATAGATCCAGTGGAATACATTATGGTTGTTGAAGTGAATGCATCCGAAACGGCAGCGATCAGCAAAATCAGATCTTCTGTTAACTCTGTCATACTTCCATTTCAAATGGACAATGGTGTTGAAATAACAGCTTTCAACATTTCAACAGGTGAGACTGTCAAAGCATCATCATTCATTAGCTAAATATCCTTCTGATGTCTGTAAATGTACAATCAACAAGTAGTGACACTACTAAAGTTATAAAAAAACAGAACATAACTACTGATATCTACTCTGTCAATTATTCCACTCTTCCTCTGCTGTTTTTCAGTGTGTTCTTTGAATGAAACACAGTATCAGTGTAAATGTGAGGGTCTGTTTGTTTGGCCGAATGACACGTGTCACTCATACCAGGCCTGTGATGACACCACTGATGGTTCATGTACATGTATCAATGGCCTTCCAATTGACGGACAGTTCTGCCAAGGTGAAACAAATGCAAAGTTGTGCAATAACAATATTTCCTATTTATAGTAGCCTGGCTATTATAAATTGGAAACATTTTTAACATTATAAAAATATAGGCTAATTGTTAAGAATATTTTAGCTCTTTATCTTTCGATGCCGTTCGACTGTTCTCAGTCCTTGCATGGGCCCATGGAAAGAATTATGAACATGAAGCCAATTGTCTGTTCACAAACTTCTTCAAAGTTTATTATTACTTCAACAGATTATATAGTCACATCGTAAGGGGTGGTGCAGTGATTCATCCAATGAGAGATGGATTACATGTGTTGTAAATGAGCCAAAAATATGTGTGTTATAATATAAATATAGGATCTGGACATATAAGGAATACTTCTGCCCAACGTCGCTGCTGGCCAACTGGGTGCCCTAAGCAGAATAGTATTGTTGTGCCCCCTCCCTCAAAAAAAACAACAACATACTATAAGGGGTCAAAATAGAACATTAATCAAATATAAAAGTACATTTAGTCATTTAGCATACGCTTTTATCCAAAGCGACTTACAAATGAGGACAATGGAAGCAATCAAAATAAACAAAAGAGCAATGATATACAAGGACTATAACAAGTCTCAGTTAGCTTAACGCAGTACACGTAGCAAGGGTTTTTTAAAATAATATAATAAATAAAAAGAAAACTGATAGAATGGAAAAAGAATAGAGCAAGCTAGTGTTACAGATCTTTTTGCTTTTGTTAATTGTATAATAATTGAAAAGAAAACCGATAAAATACAAAAAAAGAATAGAAAGCAAGTTTTTTTTTTTTAAAGAAAACAAGCAGCAAATGAATTGAGTGCAAGTCTAAAAGGGATGTGTTTTTTTTAAAGAATAGAATTAGAATAGAGAGTGCTAGAGTTAGAGGGTCAAATAAAGATGGAAGAGATGTGGACTCAGCTGCTCTGATTGAGTTGGGCAGGTCATTCCACCAGGAGGGATCATTTAATTTAAAAGTCCGTAAAAGTGATTTTGTGCTTCTTTGGGATGGCCCAATAAAGCGACGTTCACTTGCAGAACGCAAGCTTCTTGAGGGCACATAAGTCTGAAGTAATGAATTTAAGTAAAGCAGTGCAGAGCCAGTGGTGGTTTTGTAGGCAAACATCAATGCCTTGAATTTTATGCGAGCAGCTATTAGTAGCCAGTGCAAATTGATAAACAGAGGTGTGACGTGCATTCTTTTTGACTCATTAAAAATGTATCTTGCTGCCGCGTTCTGGATTAATTGAAAAGGTTTGATAGAACTGGCTGGAAGACCTGCCAAGAGAGCATTGCAATAGTACAGCCTGGACAGAACAAGAGCTTGAACAAGGAGTTGTGAAGCATGTTCCGAAAGAAAGGGCCTGATCTTCTTGATGTTGAATAAAGCAAATCTGCAGGACTGGACAGTTTTAGCAATGTGGTCTGAGAAAGTAAGCTGATCATCAATCATAACTCCAAGGTTTCGGGCTGTTTTTGAAGGAGTTATGGTTGATGTGCCTAACTGGATGGTGAAATTGTCATGAAATGATGGGTTTGCTGGAACCACAAGCAGTTCTGTCTTGGCAAGGTTGAGTTGAAG